GTTTTTTTTGTTGCCTGTGCCAAGACTTCGTTTACATTTTTATGGTATAAAAATTAAAAATGAATTTTGATTGTTTTGTTTACCGTTGTTGATGTTGTTATTGTTGTTGTTGTTGCTTTCTTGTCGACTTGTTGTTGCTCTGCTTCTTCGTACCTTGTTGTATGTATTTTTGTGGCATTGTTTTAGTTTTTCATATCGTGTACTTGAACTTTTTTTCCAACGCTTTTGTTGCCTGAAATTTGTTTTTGTTTTTGGCTCTGTATTGTTTTTTTTTTTATATTTGTCCTTTGTTTTGCATAAATTTGGTGTACCTATTTTTTCCTTCTTCTTTTTAATTTGTGCGCGGAAGCCTTGCATGGCCAAAGAACATTGAAAGTGGACTTTTCTAGCTGTTTCTAGTTGACCATTAAAGCAATTTGACCTTTAACAAATATTTAGTTAATTCAAAATTAATTAAAATACAGAGATGTATTATCCAAACTGGATTTAGCCCTAAATGTGATCTTGGAATTTTGCTCTTTACTTCTTACTCTGAAAAGTAGGCAATAAAAGGCTTTGATGCTTTGCCTTAAGAGATTCTCTCTTAATGCCTGGGAATTTTCTCTCTTTAACTTTTTTACGCTCTTCGCTCGACATTAAGGAACTGTGTTAATTGTTATAGGAATGATAATAAATTTAGTTCTCATTCAATTCGATTTGAAATGTTTTATAGCTCATTTAATTAATATTATTATTTTCTATCAGTCACTTGATTATTTTTCCACAATTTTGCCATCAATTTTCTCTGGTCGCTCGTTGCGTGCACAAATTAAATTTATGTGATTTTTGTGCGCCAATGCAAATTTGAGCGCAGACAGACAGGTGTGCGTGGTGAGTGTAGTGTGTGAGTGGGCGTGTCCTCTGCACGCTCAGCACGTTTATTCGCACTTAATTCGCACTTTTTGACACCTTTCGATGTCCGTCAGTTGCACGAAGCGACAACGAACCAAAAGCCCAAAACCAAATAAACATAATTGCGTTCGTCCTTAATATGAAATCTCCACACTCAACCCCCACGCCCCTACCTAGGGGTTGCTGCAGCCTGTCAGCAACATAATGTGCAACGGGCAAAGCGAACAGCGCGAAAAATTATGCAAAATAAATTAATTACCAATTAAGGGTGGTGGGAGTGGGTGGGTGGGCAGCATTAAGGGCTGTGCTGCACACGGTGCACAGGCTGCATCAAAGCAGTTGTGGCTGTCGCTTTGCAGCTGTTGCAGGCATATGCCTGCAACATTTCTGTGATTTTTGAAGTGTTCAGTGAGGTGGGTGGGGCCAGGCGTAGCGGGATTTCGGAGGCCTTGGGGAATGGAGCTGGGCGCTCGCCTCGTTTGCCGTAACGCGTTTGTGTCACATGAGCATCGGCCACTAATTAGTGTCATTAAATCCGCTCCACATGACGACATGCGACAACATTCGCCAGCCCCAAGTTGCCCCGTGATGTGGCGTTGCCTACTTTTTGGGGCGCATGCATAAAACATGTCGCAAAATTGCAGCAGCTTTTGGCCGTTGGGCCCGACTGGTCGTTGGCCAAATAAATAAACCATAAACATAACTGACCGCAAAATCAACTTAATTTGCAGCGTGTGGAACGTGGAATGGAACAGCGACAGTTTCTTATAACCGACATAACTTCCGTTAACTTGCGTGCAAACCTGTAATTTAAGTCCCCGCCTCCGTCTACCACTTGGCTCAACAATTGGGGTTAAAAAGGGTTTAAGTTGCGACACAAAAAGGCACCACGCCGCCTACCCCGAATCCCATCCACTGGCACCACATGCATATGCATAATTATAGAGCCGGAACCAAGAACGAAACGAAACGCAATGGCAAACGGCAAAGGGCAAATGGACCCTCGACTAGGGGCTGGACGGCATCCGCTTAGCAAACTAAACTGTGAAAATGCCGGCGGCCAGTGTTACCCCAAAAACTAGTCTCTGCGGGCAACTCTATGGGTATTACTGCCATGGAAATTTGAATATTGATTGGCTTTAATGAGCGCCCTGGTCGCGCAATTAGCTTGCTCGCCCCGCCAGCCTTACCTGGCCGCCCGCATCACCTGCGCTAGGTATCGGTTGCGTTTCCGTTTTCCTCACTTGACGGCGGCGCCCCGTGAGTGGCCTGGCCACCAGTGTTGGCTAAGCAACGTTTTGGACTGGGCGGATACCCATTTTCTCAACTCGAAAATAGATAACAAATTACGTTTAATTATGAGGACGGACAGGTGTTATCGAAAACTTGCATAAGCAGTGTTATTGTATAGTATTTTTATGAAGCTATTAAAAATGGGTGACGAAATGATGGAAATGAATCATTGAAATTGTAAGTTTGTGCAGAAGATAATGAAATGAAACAGTTCAGAAACGAAATTAAATGGAATGGAACACTGTAAATTAATAATGTTAACTGTTCATTTTAAATAAGATATTGTGTACAACGAAATGGAACAATGAAATGAAACAGATAAGAAATGAAATGGAATGGAACACTGTAAATGAATAATATTAAATGCTTAATGCTGATAATAGAGTATTACGAAATGGAACAGTGGAATGAAACAGCTAAAAAATGAAATGGAATGAAACAGTGTAAATAGGTAACGTTAACTTAAAGACGATAATAATATATATCGAAATGTAACAATGGAATAAAACATCTATGAAATGAACTGGAATGAAACAATGTAAATAAAGGATTGTAACGATTAGAGCGAAACAAACTATAAGCAAAGAGAAAAAAGGGAATATTCGATATGAAATGAAAATGAAACAGAGACTATGGGAAACTGACTATTGGACACTGGCATAATCAAGTGGAATGAATTGAAACGTAACCAATTATTTGTGTGGAATACAAGGAAAGGGAACGTAGCTCAGGGACATGAGAAAAATGAATGTGAAATGGAATGAAACGAAATTAAAGTTAAATGGAATGGAACAGCAAATTCAATGGAATGGAAAGTGAAACAAAGCAGGCAAATCGCCAGTTAAATCGTTGGCCAAAATCAAATTTTGTATGCAAATTGAAAAGAGTTGAAGGTGCAAAGGGGAGGGAGTGGGACAGGGGGAGAGGTGAGGGTGGGTGGAAGATGAATGTAATGCATAAATTAATTGATCGCCTACGCATTGGGCAAAAACTATGAATGCTCAATGAATGCGCTGTCTCCGATAAAACTGTGGCATGTGGCTACGCCCACATGCCGCGCATGCAGCACCCAATTGCATTTTGGTGGCAATGAAATTCGAATATGAAAACGTTGCACCAACATTTAGCATTCAATTCATTTTGAACTAAACTAAATAACAATGCAGTCCGCATGGCGGGCGTTGGGGCTGAGAGGGGGCGGGGAGGCTGCATTGGTTTTGGCCAAGTTAAAAGCTGACTTGGCTGATTGGTATTTGGCTCGGTTTTGGGGGCTGGCGTTAAATTTACATAAATTGATTTGATTGAATTTTTATGAGCGAACGTCCATTGGCCGTTGCGCGTTGCGCGTTGCCCGTGGCTGATGAGTTTTTGACACTGGCCACAGTGCGACGTCTAATTAAAGTCATTGCCAGCAGCTGCACACGCGTGGCACGGAGTAACGGGCAACGGTCTGTGCCCCCAAGGCCGGGTCACAGTTGGTGCTACATGCACAACGGCAGCAACCATGTTGGCTTAATGCATTTGGCCATGGCCAACGACAATTGACGCAGGGCGGCAGACAATGGTGCAACAACACCCCTTACCCATCACACACACACACGCAGCGGCATCTCTGCCTCTGCCTGCTCGCGGACATAGCATATTTTTAGGGCTTCGGACTGGCAAACAGAAAGCGGCAACAAACTAAGTATTTAGCGCTTTGATTTTGGCCTGGTTACACACACACTTGACCCTTCCATTCCATTCCATTACGTTTCGGCTGGTTTCGTTTCGTTTCATTTTGCGCTCTTCTGTTGCCGTTTGCCAATGCCAATTTGTCATAAATCTCGTTATTTTAAATCGTTGTTGGCATTTTCTGCTCGCATTGATTTGTTGTTGTTGCTGTTTCTGCTGCTGCTGGCCATTGACAGACGCCTTGGCCATGTTTTGTTATCGTTATCGCGCTGCTGCAGTCAGCAATTTGCAGCGTTGCAATAAAGCAAAAGTGACAGTTGTAAATGTTGCGGTTGTTGGCTGGAATTGTCAGCCACAAAATGTTTCGTTTAAATACGCAAAAATATTGAAAGTAAAATAATGTTTAAAATGAGATTTCGCAATAATAAAGCGTGCCGCGGCCGGCTTGGCTTATTAAGCCTGCCTCCTGTGAGATTTGAACTCACGACCCCTGGTTTACGAGACCAGTGCTCTGCCACTGAGCTAAAGAGGCATTCTTGTAAATGCGCCGCCAATAAGCTCGGTTATGTATATGTGCGAAAAGGACCGACACCCCCGCACAACCAATCAGAAAAAAGCATCGAAACAACACAAACGAACAACGATCGAAGCTTGTGTTATTCTAAAAATAGCACACACAGCGAATTCTTGCGTGTGTGACGTAGGCATCAGCTTGATCGTATCGAGGTCACAGCTTTCGTTGGCCGCTATTGACATTGGGTTTTGGCGAGCCACATTCCCAACGGCTCGTTGGTCTAGTGGTATGATTCTCGCTTCGGGTGCGAGAGGTCCCGGGTTCAACTCCCGGACGAGCCCTCTTCAGAGCACGATCTCTAATTTTTTCTTTTATATTTATTAATCTTTTTTTTTTGCTATTTATATTTGCTGTGAAGACTTGAGAAGTGATAATCACTGCGCAAATTAGTGGCATAGAATTTTGGCAAGCCTCCAAATCAGTGATTCTGTTAAGTTAACAGCACACAAACAGTCGCCGCGTAAAAGTATGCTATGCGAAATGTGCACAAACATGTTCTAGACGCCGCCGTCTGTTAATGCGATTAGACAGCACTGTTAGTGCGCGCAGCAGCTGTCAAATGCCGTTAAGCAGACTTGGAGGCATTTATCAACACTAGCGGCGACGAAGCGTTCCTTTTACCTACTTGAAAAGCTGATTTAAATTTAATTACTATTGAATACGCTGTTGTTGTGACCATGAATACAATTGACTTTGACTACGAGTTCAACAGCGATTTCAAATTCATTGACTTCTATGCAATTGATCGGTTCATTGTGCCCGCGATACCGCAGCATTTCGGCTATGTGCCCCAAGCGAACAACAACAACAGCGGCAGCAGCAGCAACAGCAACAGCAGCCACAGCAGCAGCAGGGACCATCAACAGTCGAAGAGATCGCGGTCTTCGTATGAGTGCTATTGGCTTGACATAAGCAAACCGAATGTACTCACACACATACTCACACGCATGCACACACATACTCTTTAGTAACCTCAACTGATTGATATCTCTCTCTCTTTTGCTCTTGCAGATGATGACTATGGATATAACCAAAACTGAACCCGGACTAGTCGGGCTATCATCCAATCAGCAGCAGCAGCAGCAGCAGTCGGCACAGCAGCAGCAAACCGCAAACATGAACAACAACGGGCAGAACAACAACAACAATGGCAGCAACAACAACAATGGCCTGAGCAATGGCAACTCTGTTAATAACAGCAACAACAACAATAACAACAATAACAGCAACGTGCAAAGTATCGCGGCCGCCGCTAACAACAACAACAACAACAATGGCAGCCAATTGTGCGCCGGCTGTGGCAAGCACATCCAGGACCGTTACCTGCTGCGCGCCTTGGATATGCTGTGGCACGAGGATTGCCTCAAGTGCGGCTGCTGCGACTGCCGCCTCGGCGAGGTGGGCTCCACGCTCTACACCAAGGGCAATTTGATGCTCTGCAAGCGCGACTATTTGAGGTGCGTAGCAGCTGAAGAGTCAGTGTGTGTGAGAGAGAGAGAGAGTGAGGAGCAACTGTTTAATCGCTGTTAACTCTCTTCTTACAGATTGTTCGGGAATACGGGCTACTGTGCCGCCTGCAGCAAAGTCATTCCAGCCTTCGAGATGGTAATGCGTGCACGCACCAATGTTTACCATCTCGAGTGCTTCGCGTGCCAGCAATGCAATCATAGGTGAGTGATAGAGTAACATTGCAACAGCGATAGATAGAACAGCAGTTCTTTTGCTACCTTAAAGAGTTCACATTCAATTTGAGTCAATTTAAATAAACTGCTATTTGCACTTCGAATTTTACTTATACTGAACCTTGAAACTTATAACTATATTAAGTATAATTATAATTTTTCTTATACTTATGATTATACCTATACTTATACTTATACTTATACTTATACTTATACTTATACTTATAGTTATACTTATACTTATACTTATACTTATACTTATACTTATACTTATACTTATAGATTATACTTATACTTATACTTATACTTATACTTATACTTATACTTATACTTATACTTATACTTATACTTATACTTATACTTATACTTATACTTATACTTATACTTATACTTATACTTATACTTATACTTATACTTATACTTATACTTATACTTATACTTATACTTATACTTATACTTATACTTATACTTATACTTATACTTATACTTATACTTATACTTATACTTATACTTATACTTATACTTATACTTATACTTATACTTATACTTATACTTATACTTATACTTATACTTATACTTATGCTTATACTTATGCTTATACTTATACTTATACTTATACTTATACTTATACTGTATGTTAGTAGGTCTATCTGTCTCCCTCACTCTCGTTCCTTAAGCTCATTTGCCATATTACCTACTTATGCATTTTTATGGGCCATTTGCCTATCAACAGCTTCTGTAAACACACCCGAAAAGAAATCCCTTTTTAATCTTTGGCCAATATACATGGCCAAAATGGCACTTGGAATTTTATTATTATGCATCAGCAATAACAACAGCAGCAGCAAATTGACATCATTTACAAGCTTGTTTGCCCCTTATTTTGGGTTCTCATTGCCGGTGAGGCGGGGGCACGGGTAGGGGGCGGGGGTAGGCAGCGAGCAACCCCTTCGAGTGTCATAGAGTTTCTATGAAAACCGCATAAATTTCATGGGCATATTTGATTCTCTTACCCTTCGGGGTGCCATCAACTAGTCAGCGTGCTCGCGTGCAGCTTAGCCCGCTAGCCAGCTGCCTTTGCGAATTTATTGCATTTGGCCAATTCGGCAAATGTCACTCTAGAGAGTTTTAAAGTGTGTGCGTGAACCTTGTGACCGGTCAACAAGTATTTCAGCTCCTTTTTTATTTTATTTTGTTTTCTTCTTTTCGTTTCGCTTTGCATTATTAATGCGGCTGCCCATATGCCGTCCTGCCCCTGCCACAGTCGCCTGTTTGCCTTCTTCTCCATTGGAGCATTGCACAAGCAACGGCCATCGCATTAAATATTTAAAATGCCGCCACACGGCATTGCCGTATACAAAAATATTGAAATAAATGTTAAAACATATTGGCTTATTGTAAAAATCTAGGCCCAGTTCCCATTTGCCAGTCGCAGGTCCCACACAATGTTGCCCGGCTGTTGCAAATGCAATCGCTGACGCTTTTGTTTCGAGTTGTCGAAAATTGGCTTTAAAAATGTAAGAGGCGGTATGTCCCGTACGAACTTGTGGCCTGAGTGCGGCCTCCCTTCGAATTGAAGTCAACAAATATTTAACAGCGTTTGCAGAACTAGTTCCAAAGAAGGATTGTGGAGAGAAACACTCTTAATCTGTTAATCTGTCACGTCTGTTAGTCTGTAAACAGTTGTCTGTTAACGTCTGAAGCAACTTTCTGTTAACATTCTATGCTATAATTAGGTGTCAAGAGAGTTTTTAATTTCCTTAGGGGAAATTCTAAAACTTCCCAATTTTGTGAATTGCGCTCTTTAAAATCACAGATCACGCGCTCTTCTCCACTTCCATCTGAAGTTAATCAATTTTTTACGAAAATTAATTCAATTGCCAAAAAGTCATTGAGGCGTTGTGGCATGGCCAGCGGGCAGCATGCACTGGCCGTGACTCCTGCCACGCCACCGTGTAGCATTTTTATTGTTGGTCGCACATTTCACATTTAAAATGCGGGACTTCACTTGCCACATCATGAACGCGCAGCGGCAGCAGCAAAAAGTCGCTTTGCATTTTGCTCTTTTTTCCATTGTTCGTTCTTTGCGCTGCTCTCTCTCTCTCTCTTTTACTATATATCGTGTGTGTGTGTGTGTAAGCTTTTTTTTAACGAAAGTGCATCAAATGTGTTTGTTGTTTTTATTTTTATGTTGTTGCTGAAAAGTTTGCATAATTTCCTGTCGCCAGCATCGACGACGTCGTTAGTTGACTGGCAGCCAGCAGAGCAGAGCGAGGGAGACGAAAGTAACAGTAACGGTAAACAGAGCGCGAAGTTTGGCAGTGAATCTTTTCGTACGAGCACGAGCAAGAGTAGTAGTAGAAGAGAGCAAGAGTGAGCGAGTGACTGAGTGAGTCGGTGAGAGATTGAGAGTGAGAGGGAGCAGAAGAAATAACAGCGTGCGCCATTTTAACAATTTTTGTATTTCCTGTTGACAATTTGTTGTTGGTCTTCACTTGCCCGGATGTGCGAGTCCTCCACACACACGCACACACATGTCTGATATGTGGTATGCATGTCACAGGTGCGTTCAATGCCATAGCCAAAAGTTGTTGTTGCTCTTCTTTTTCATACTTTGTTGACTCGAGCATTTTTTGTTGTTTTGGTAGATAAACAAAGCGTTTTTCATGTACACGCCGCCGCGCCACACCCACACAGTTCACATATATATGTTTGTACATAACCAGCGCCAGTCCGTCAATCGATTTGCTGCAACGCCAGCAGCCAGCAGCCAGCAACCAGCAAGAAAATGAAACCAACAAAAAATAAGAAGTACCAAAAAAAAAAAAAAAAGAAACAAAAACATTGACGTAAATCAAAAGCCGAATTTCATATCCGCTGTAAGTCTGCTGTAAGCTGTAAGCCCATACTCCTCCCCCTTCCTCTCTCGCCATCTCACTCTCTCTCTCTCTAGCCTGCCATATGGGGTATACGTACTTGTCAAGCATAAAAATGTTGCACTAGCTATCTAGAAGCCTGTGCACAAAGCCAACTAGTTGGACCTTAACGTTGAAAGGTAGCTAACTTATTTAGATGTAGACAAAAAAAATTAATAATGAATATAAATTGATAGACATAGATATAACTATGATAGATATATAAAAAAGAAAGACAGATGGACAAATAGGTAGATAAATAGAAGAACTGTCGGATAAATAGATAAATACATAGAAACCCACATTGATCATTTACCCAATAAATTGATCGATAGTAATAATAATTGATCGATACATAGATAAGAGATTATCTATGGATATATAGACAAAAGAGTCGATTAATTGACGCCTGAATAGATCGATAGATTAGTGATCGATAGATAGATATCTATCGATATATAGATATTAATTGACGGCTAAATAGAGCGATGTATAGTTAGATATACAGCTAGATATATGGATGGACAGATAGATAGATATACATATAGATTGAGACAGATAGATATATCCATATCTAGAAAGATAAATAGAGAAACATATAAATATATAGATAATCAGTTAGTCATCAGTATAACAACATAATTATGCAGTATAACATATTGTCTATGGTATTATGTGAATTTCTTAATATAACAGTTTTATAACAGAAGTATAAAAAAGAGCTGAAGCTATATGGATTACTTTATGGCTCAAACACTGCTGCTTGACTGAAGTATTAGTATAACAGTTGTATGACAGTGTTATAACAGATAACACTTTAATGTTAACCATGACAGTTATGACAGTTATTTGCTTAAATATATGTATGCATATTCGCATTCGTTAGGGTATTTAGCTGGTCTCATATGAGCGGAGTCTTTGCTCCTGGGCTTGTTTGCTTTGAAATGTGAGCTGTGTGTGTGGCTTTTTTATATTTCGTTGGAGCTTTCCGAATGTTGAGCAACTGTTGCGTAGACGCCCCTGCAGCGTCCGTTGTCATCCTGCACAGGTGCTAACATAAATATTTTGACAAAGGGCTTCATGTTGCACACACACACACGACAGGGCATTGGACTTCAGTTGCAGTTGGTCGTATCACAGCTCACAGCGGACTGCAGTCAAGCGGAACTTGTTCTGCTGCCACACGTAATGCTGCACCTGCTGTATCTTGTAGCAATTGCAGATCTGTGGCCCGTTTCCTGCTGCCTCTGCCTCTGACATTTTCAAATGCTTATCTCTGACTTCCTTGCGAGCGATGTCATCAAGCCGCAGTTCCCGGCCCCCTATGTGGTGGGTCCTGCTGCTGCTGTTGCCTGTCTTCGTCTGTGCTTTTGTTTCAGTCAACTCGGTTCCTGGCCATTCTCTCTGTCAGATATCGCAGTCTGTAGCCTAACAGTTGCCTGTCAATTGTCATCTTTGTGTTGTTTGCAACTCAGTCGCTCGCTTGCAGGCTTAAGCATGTGGAAAAATCGTTTCCAGTTAGCTTTTCCTGTTGCTCAACCAGTTGAACTCTTGCACAAAAAACTGTGACCTGTCCTGATTTATGCATTGTCTTGGAGTTCTCGAGTTGCAATTCACAGCTTTAGCCTATCTATCTACCATAGCAAATTAACCAAATTCCAATTGGATTCACGCTCAAACCCTTATTTTCATTCTCTATATCTTTCTCTCTCTCTCTCCTTGCAGATTCTGTGTTGGCGATCGTTTCTATCTGTGCGAGAATAAAATACTCTGCGAATACGATTATGAAGAGCGTCTGGTGTTCGCCTCGATGGCTAATCATCCGATGCTGAAGCGACATGTCTCGTCCCTGGGCCAGGGCTCGCCGACTGGGGCAGCGGGCGGCGCTGGCAATGCGGGCGGACTGCTGGGCGGCGGGCCCGGCGGCGTGACGGGCGGCGCTAATGTGAATGGCGGCGGCGGTGGTGGCATGGTCAATGGGCCACGTACGCCGGGCGATCACAACAACAACAATGGACCCCAAACGCCAACTGGCGGCGGCGTCGGCGTCGGCGTCGGCTCTCCGTTTGCAGCCGCTGCGGCGGCCGCTGCCGCCGCGCACATGAAGAACCAGCTGGGGGCGTCCAGCTAAAATAAAGCCCTGGGCATGAGCGGCAGCGGCAGCGGCAGCAGCATCGGCGGCTCCGGTCAGCAGTTCTACGGAGCCGCCGGCTTTGGCCTGCATCAGCAACAGCAGCAGCAGCAGCCTCTCATGGGCTTGGGCATGGGCATGGGTATGGGCGTGGGCGTGGGCGTGGGCATGGGCGGCGGCAGCGGCAGTGGCATTGCGGGCGGAGGCGTCGGCAGCATGGGCAGCAGCTGCAGACGCTACCAAAGAAAGTTCTACAATCGCAACTGAACGGCGCCGATCGGGCAATCACTCGCTCGACTCATCGATCGATATATCGATAATTATCAATATGTTATAACTACGTATAAACCATAAAATGTTCGTTTTGCTTTGACTGAGTTAAAGTTTCGTAGCTTTAGTTATTAAACTATTCTTTTATATTATTATTTTTTTTTTTATTTTTATTTTAATTTTTGATTTAACTGTTCCTTTAAGCTCTGTAAATACTTTGAGTGCAATTTGTGCAAGAAAAAAAAAAAACAAAAATTACAAAATTAAATGTATTAGAAAACAATATATGAAGAAAACAAAAGGAAAACTGTTATATTTTATAAAAAAAAAGAAAATGAACAATAAATTTTTTTTTTAATTTTTAAGCTCTAGCGCCGCTTTCTAAAGATATTTATGTATATATGTATATATATAAAGATATATATATATATGTATATATGTATGTATGAGCTTTCAAAGCGTGCGTTGCCAAAATAATTCAAAGCAGTGCCAAAAAAAAATAATTAAAAATAAATTTAAAAAAAAAAATAATTATTAGCGGCAAAAAACAAAAAAAAAATAGTTTTTTTTTTATTTATTGTGCTTATTTTATTTATGGATTAACAAAGGAAATGACAAAAAATCTATAAACGAAGCTTCTCTATGACAAGTGCGCGGCTTGTATGGGGAATACCCCTATTAATTATTTTAACGTATGGAAAATTGATTTGCGTTGAGCTCTTTAAGCCTAAATTGGAATAGAGCCAAAGCATACGATTTGATGTCGTAGAGAAGTGGGCGAATAATATCGAAATTGTTTATTTTTTTCTTTTCATTTGTTAAACATCCCCACCGACCATTTATATAATTTTTAATTTATATAGATTTATATATAGTTTTTTTTTTTAAATTCCATTCGAATGTAGAGGCCGCTGGTTGTAAAAAATAAATATATATTAATATATATATATATATATATATATTGGCATTTTGTGTAATGTGTAAATATTTAAAGAATTTGTATTTTCTATATGTGTACAAGAAAAACAAAAACAAAAAACAAAAACATAAATAATAATTTTTCGCGTTCATTTTGAAGTCTGTTAAAGCAACATTGTTGATTATTATTTAAGTTTAGTTAGTGCGAGGCTAAAACAAAAACAACAAAATATTTTTTTTTTTTTTGTATTAATTGTAAAGAGAGAGAAGCCTTCAGATAAGCAAGAGCTGGAAGAGCTGGATATATAAATGTATAAAATAGAACAGCAAAACGAAACGGAAGCAAAACTAGTTACAATATAAATGTATTTATTAATATGCTATAAACACCTTTTTTTAACTACTATTACTATTATTATTATTATTATTATTATTATTATTATTATTATTCAATATGCATACTTAAATGTCAGCAACTCATGCGATTCCATTTAATCTCTAATTAAAAGCTAAGCGTTAACTTTAAAACTAAAACAAAACCGAAAATCAGAAAAAAAACAAAACAATTTAAACTAGCAAAAATATTCACGTGTATGTAAAACGTATAAAACACTATATATATATATACATATATATGAGTAAACAAAAAAAGTATATATTTATGAATTATAATGAGTGGAAAATCGTAAGTCTTAAGCTGAATGCAAAAGCAGTGAAAGGAAAAACCAAAGTGTGTATAAGAAAATTAAAGGAAAAACTACAAAAAAAGATAGAAAAACAAAAACAAAAATAAAAACAAGCTATTCAATAACTATGCATTAACTACGTATATATATACATACTTATAAACAATACTACCTACACACACACACACACACACACTGACTCACACACACACACATAAGTGTTAAATAAATGTAAAATGCATAAGTGAGAGGATGTTTTTTTTTTGTCAACAATTGCGCAACGTCAAGAATCAAAAATATTTAAACCTTAACTTTAAGCTAAACATTAAATGATATCACGCATGATATAGGACCTTTGTGCGCCGCGTTGCGTTTTGAATCTAGCGAAGGGAAAAACGCAAAACAAAGAAAAATCAAAAACGATAAAATACAGAAGAAAAGAAAAAACACAAAAACATGAATATTAAAAAAAAACCAAATAAAAATAAATGTAATTAACAAAAATTAAAAAAAATAAATGTTTTTTTATTCTACAGTCCCAAGCGATTTTCAAGAAGAGGCAAAGGCAAGCCGAGTGGAGGCATGTTCCAGCTGAATATCTCTCAGTTTCTTATACAATTGATCTCCAAAATGCATATTGCTGCTATATAGCTGAAGTATTCACGTTATTATATACTGTATAAGACTAGCTTCCAGCTCTGAAGTCTCAAACTTTCTCTTTTTTATTCGGATTTCTTTTCTTCTTGTTCTCTCTTATTCTCTCGGGTCTGGATCTTAGTGCCTATTTCTCTCTGACTCTCTCTAGCTCTCTCTTTATTCCTCTCGCTCTGTATTTTTTTCTCTCTTTGTCTTTTTTCTCTCTTTTTTCCGTCTGTCTGTCATTCCCTCATTCTGTTTCTGCCCCAAATTTAAAGCTTCTTTTGTTCTAGACCAAAAATGAGTTCGTTTTTGTTAAGCAAACTCAAATTTGGATGAGTCTCTGTTAAAAACGGGCAGATATAAACTAACGACTAATAATATATTGTTATCGATTATTTGTATCGATTATTAAGCGGTATGTCCCTCGCAACACTTCAATTAATACTTATGAAATTTTCTTTGGTTTTGGCTTTCATCAAAAACAGTTTTTCAGTTCTTTTCTCAGTTATCGAACTGAGAAGTTACGTATTATAACGGAACTTTATGCCTAGATCTTTTAAAAGCTAAAATTATATTTTATTTGGGTTTGCCACAAGTAAATCTTGAAATCTTTATGCAGAGTTGATATCCAAAATGTTTCTAGCTCAACTCAATTTAGCTATTTGCCTGTACTTCAAATATAAAGCTGTTGCTGCTGCTGCTGCTGTTGTTGTTGTTGTTGTTGTTGTTGTTGTTGTTATTGTTGTTGTCATTGTCAATTGGCATTTTGTGTGGAGCCTTGCGCTTGACATTTGTTGACTCTTTTGCTTTGACAGCCATTAATCACGACATTGTTGTTGCCAATTTGAAATCTGCAGCATATAAGAGAGGGAGAGGGAGAGTGAGAGTGAGCGAGAGAGAGAGACAGACAGACAGCAAGCGTAGCTAGGTGGCATGAGTTACTATTGATAGGTTGCGGGGCGGCAGCCTGATAAATGATGTTTCATATTTTGAAGCTGGTTGCAATTGAAATAATAAAACGTTATGGCTGCCGCCGCACCACAGCAACGCGCTGCCACACACACACAGGCCAACCCCAACTCCAAATCCCAGCCCCAGCCCAACCCCTGGCATTCTGCCGCTTGATTAATGAAACTTTAAAAGGGAACACGCGTCCTTGTTGCTGCCGCTGAGTCTTTTGTCTGCGGCTGCGGATGCGCGCAACTAGAACGACCGCAAAAACTTTGCGATAAGCGATCTTTTCAATATATATATATATATATATATATATATATATATATATATATATATATATATATATGGTATATATATCCATGTGTGTCGACAAAGTTTGGCCGTCTTATTGGTTTGTCTTCGTCGATATAAGCAAGGCAAAGGAAGTCGCGTTGCCGCTGCAGGCCATAACAATAAAAGTCATTTATAGATTTCGATTTGTGTGTGTGTGGGTGTGTGTGCACATGTGTGCCCCAAGGGCTGTGAGCAGCTGGGGCACAAGTTTGACGTTGCATAGTTTTAGGCTGCTTATCAGCACTTTTGTTTTATTGTGTGCGGCCTCTGAGGCGGGGGCGTCTCTGCCGTTGCCTTTGTCTTTGCCCCGTCGACTGGTGTCATAATCAGTATAATGCTTATGAAAATGTCTTTTCTGTCGTTCGCTTATCAGCAAATGTCCTGCGTCCCTTTGTTTATGGCCCCGTCGCGTCGTCGCTCCAGCTGAATCCATAAAAATAATGTTTCAATTTGATGCGCTCCGCAGTCCCCCATTTGCTCTCTGTCAATCACAAAAAATTGTTGAAAAATGCTTTCCATCAACGGCAAGGGGAAGCCCTCTTAAAGTACTTAATAAAGTCTGAGAAATATTTATGCGCAAGTATTGAATATCTATCGAAACAACTTTTCCATATCGAATCGCATCAAACATTTTATATTTATATTCCCAATGCTAAAGAAAGTATCTATGACATATCATATATTAATCGTAATACAATTATGGAAAGTATGTTTACTATAAGTATTTACCTATTGTTTAGAATATGAGCTATAGCATATGATACAATAAAATTGAACTTAGGATTACTAGGTAAATTTAATGTCAAAATGCTTTTGCATATAAGAACTACAGTCTTTACAGTCTTAAGCTGCTAATCATATAGTTGACAGATCCAATCAGTTTTATATAAGATATTGAACTTTAGCTTTAAGACTGGTAAACCCTTTGTAAATAGTATTCCTAATCATTGCTTCACTCTGCGATTCTCATGATGTCGATCTTTTTCTCGCTCGGTCTCTTTCTATCCCTCACTCATTCGCTTTCAATCTAACTCAATTTTACTTTTTCTCTCTATCTATCTATTTCTCTCTATTTCTCTCTATCTCTCTCTATTTTTCTCCATCTCTCTCTCTCTCTTTCTTTCTCACTTACTCTCTTTCTCTCTCTCTCTCTTTCTCTTTCTCTCTCTCATTCGCTTTCTCTTTCTAGCTCTCCCTCTCTCTCTCTATTTCTCTCTCCCTCTCTATTTCTCTCTCTCTCTCTTTCTCTCTCTCTCTCTCTGTCTCTCTCTCTCTTTCTCTCTCTGATTCTCTCCTATTTTCTTCAACCGTTCGTGATATGTCAAATCAGACCTGAGACTTGCTTAATTGTT